TCCCAGAACTTCCCAGAGTACCGCTGCACTTCTGGCACTTGCATCGCATCTCACTTTGTATAATTTGTTTATTCACTTAATTACTACAGTCATTTAACGCTTTGAGTTAGCGGTATGTCTCAGCTTCATGAAAACCAATTTTATAATTTAGATTTGATAGATTTTACAGAGAATTGTCTGTGTGTGCTACAATACTAGTGAGATAATATTCAAAACATAGCCATGCATGGAGGCAACTGAAACGCGTTTTAGATATACGAAAAGCGAGTAAAGACTCAAAGCCGCTCGAGTTGCAGACATCAAATTGACTTGGTCGACTCGACGAATTCAATCGAAAATCAACTTAAAACGAGAAAGTAAGAAAATCTTCGTCAAGCCGAAAATGTAAAGCCTTTGCTGACATTTCCCTTTCAATGCCAAGCATCTCGCCATTCTCGTCTTCGCATCTCCGGCAGCAGCAAGCAAGAGGTTTCCAGGCTTCCAGTAATACAAGCACCCCCAGAATGATTTCCGGGAGCGGGAAGAGGACAGTACGCGTTTTCAAAATGTGACTATTGCATACATATTGTGTACACATAGCATATAGTAGAGAAAGCAGCCACACACATATGTTGGAATCAGCTCCAATGTGTGCGGAAAGTACGAGGCGAAGGCAGCGCCGTAACCAAAGGTCCAAATCGCCAACAACGTCAGAGTTAATGTGGTGGCTGCGTGGGACAGTACGAAAAGTGTGCAGAGTAAGTTTTAATTGTCGTCAAGTTTATGAGGTAGTTTATGGGTGAACCAAATAAAATATTAGGAAACTTATTAGCAAAATAAATACAAACAAGTAAGAGGTTCTAGTCGGGAGCTCCCGACTTGGGGATACCCTGAACCCTCTTCTTCCAACATCAAATGCATATAAATATTCTATTTTAGAAGCTATATGTCAAGTTTGGGAACTCAAGCTCTTATTATTTACCAAACTTTCCCAAAAAATAGGATATCGATATCGATTATCGATTGCTTGAAAACGGAGTAAGTTATCGACTATCGGAAACAGATTAGATTGTTTTCATATCTTACCTTATGTCTAGAAGTATTTGTATATAAGTATATCGAAACCACAATATTACCGTTAAATATAAAAGCACTAGATTTAAGCTCATCGATATAGATCCTCGAGCCATGGATAGCTCTGATGCAGAACTTACTTCTCTCTGATCGATTGTCAAAAATAACGCTCGGATCAACTAAAATAAATCTTATATTTTATTTATAATAAAACTTGTTACAGTGCTCGTTTAGATTTAAGTTTTGATGTTGCTCGTTGATTGAAAAAAAGCTGCACAATTACGAATTTGGGCTTCACCAATTTCACATTTCACTTTCAATCCAAACCAACGACGAGAACGGCTTTAGAGTGGCTTAGAAGCAATATTACACCGAATATATACGAAGCGATCGGAATAGAATATTTGTACCCCAATTGCACATATCCTATTTTATTGAGCCAAGCTATTAAGCTCTTCCTAAAAATAAACGAACGAATTAGTTGACACGGAAAGAAACTTGCCATTTGTCGAGGATAGTCTATTTACCGGCTGCGTGCGCTTCTTCGTGCACCCAAATGTGTACCAATGCTCGTCATTGCCAAGCTTCTCGCCATCCTCCAGTGAGCAGGGCAGAGTGCGATTCAGTGTCTCCGGCAGCAGCAAGAACAAGCAGGCACCTAGCAGAGTGAGCACGCCCAGAATGATTTCCGGCAACGACAAGAAGTCTGCAGACGTGTTCAATATGTATTTTATGCATATTATGTACATAAGGTCTACATCATAGATGGCACCCAATGCCTGGCCACGCACACATGTTGGAATCAGCTCAATGGCATACTGCATATTCGAATGGAAGGCAAGGTTGCAAAAAAAAATCCCAATTACGAAAAACGTGAATAGTACTGTGGGGGCAGAAAGTAGGCATAGTTATAATTGTGGGTATTGTAGCAAACATATATTTAACTCATTGTCTAGAAGTAGAAGAAGGTATTATAATTTTGCCATAAAGCCCCAAAAAGTGTCTGTAAAATAAAAACACAAATATCTTTTTAGTTCCAGTCCAGCTTTAAACATTAGTTTTCACTTACTGTTACTAACCATTTAACATACAACATACAACATACAACATACAGAATACAACATATAACATGTTGCAGTTAATAGGAAAATGTTGTAATATATACCTAATTAATTTTCATTAACGTAAATGGGGTGGGTTGGTTTTTATCAAATCGGTGAAAAACGAAAAAATAATACAATATGAAAGTAGGAATACTTTATTTAACTATTAGAACCTGTTCTTCAACACAAACAACAACAAGTATATATAGTAAAATACATAGGACTTACAGCGATTAGCAGCATGCGAGAGGAAGATGCTCGATAGCAAGAGGAAAAGGACAATAAGGAACCGTATTGTCATAGCCAACGCCTTACGTCCTATGCGATCTTGCACGATAATTATTACCAAGGAAGCAGGCAGAATAGGAGCTGCCCGCAATGAGGACATTACAAATGGCGAAATCTTAAAGCCACGCACATAATAAACCAAGAGTTTACAGTAGTAGGGAAGTACCATGCTATGTTGATGAGCGAATGAGGGCGTAGAAACAACAGATTGATACACATTAGCAAGTTCATTCGATCAGATTTGTACTCACAATTCAAACAACATTATTAAATAGGTGCGGCGTAGGTGCGGTGTCTTGAAGAGGTCAAGCAGATTTGGGTGTTTCTTCGCATTTTGTTGACTTAATTTGCAGTCTTCAATGAATTCCTCATAGACCCTGTCATCAATTTGGCGGCCATTTATCTTGGCCACACGCTTTAGGGCGGTTATAGCCTGGCCATATTTCTTCCTTGAGATCAGCCATTGCACGCTCTCCGGTACAAAATAAAAGAAAATCGGCACCATAATTATTGACACCATTTCGAGAAGCATGAAACGACGCCAAGTACCCAAGAGGATGGTTATCCAAGGTGTGCTTACCATGCCCAAAAATAAAAAGAAACCGTAGCAGATGTTTAGGCAAACGGTGTGCAAAGAAGGACGCATATATTCCACAACTGTGAAACAATTGTCGATTAAATTAAAGAATTTCTAATGCTGTGATTATTTTGCTCACTTAGAATTCGGATAAGAAAAAAGTTGCTGTTAATTACGAAGCCGGTAATAAATCTAAATATACAATAAAGTGCCAGACTCATGCCAAAGATTGTCAAAAAGTTGCCGAATATGGTGACAACCTTGGCCAAAACAAGAATGGGCACACGACCCAATCTATCAGCCAAATAGCCCATAACTAGACAGCCTATCAAGCAACCCGCAAGGTACACGGAGTCTCCCTTGCTAAGTTTATCCTCTTGATCACATATCCAGTTCATTTCACTGACAAAACTCTGATAACCCATATAATGCTCATAGTTGTACTTTTTGCAGGAGCTTGAGTGTGTTGCATTATTGTACAGTGGTTTGCAGCTGGATTCATTTGGTGGTCGTGCCCCCGACTCCAGCCCATCAGCACACCTGGGTGTTATGGACAGACGTTAAGCATACGCCATGTTATTAATATTCTTATAAATACTAGAGCCCTGCGTCGGTTAATTCATGTGAATCAGGCTCGGATACTCAATTGGCAGACTCAAGCCTTCGACTATTTAGCTTAACAATGTTCGAATGGACTTGATTCAAACATACGCATAACAAAACTATCAGCTCGAACACAACTGAAACAATGAAGTTTGATGTGATCTATAACAGTTTGGGGTAATTGTTTGATTTTGTTTTATTTTCAGTCGAATTGATCGACACAAATTTTCTTTTGTGCAACTACAACACTTCGAGCCAACAATATTTGAGTCGGGAATCCGAAACGTGTTTCAGTGGACTCGATGCAGGGCTCTATTACATACCAATACTTTGGCACAGTATTAAGGATCGAATAGGATCGGAAATGCACGGCTGATAGTAGAGTGATCAAAGGAGAGAGTAACAGCAAGATTAGCTGCTGCCTACTTAAATCACCGCATTGTTCCATCATTCTGTCCACTTCCAACATTGTGTTATTTACATATATTCCAAGCACGTGCTGCATTAAATTCACTATACACCTCGTCCAGAATAGAGAGTTCCCGGAACTTGTTTTATTTAGCCAGTGCCCTCAGTGTACCCCTGCACTTGTAGCATTTGCATCGTATCTTCCAATTTCATGAAAAAAACAAATATAACAATTTAGATTTTAAAGAGAAATGACAGTGTTTGCGTAATGCTAGTAAAATTAGATTGAAAAATATCACTTGCATTAAACAGGATTTTGGAGGTCGTGTTCTTCTGACTACAGCTGTCGGATGGGGTAGGGGCTCTTCTAACTCTCATACTCCACACGATCATAACCATAATTTAATTACGGCTGATTGACTTTCAGAATGTATGCTTATGTGTCCCTGTTTGTTGCCTGCTTGTCCAATGCAATTTTGACGAGATTCGAAAGAGTATGTGTCGCAAAAATTGAACAATTTTAATTTTTGTTGAATGAATGCTGATCATTTACCCTTACAGAAATACGACTTGGTTTTTTTTTTTTTTTTTGGGCAAAATAGTTCCCCACAGTAAATGAAATAAATGGTAATATAAAAAATAAATATTTCATTTAGTTCATTTAAGTTTTTATTAAATAAATATTGATTCGATTCTTTTTATTATGCCTGACTGGACGAGGAAATACATGATAAACCATTAATATATGTGTGCCTGTTCGTAGCATAGTAGCATTCAATATCATTCATGATAACCACCTATTTAGACTTATTTAATTCTTTGTCCTGGTCGGAGATGTGTGGGTACACAACTTATGTATACGATGGTGTGAAGTATAAGAGTGAGAAGAACCCTTAACCCATTTACGACAGGCTGTAGTGAGAAGAACACGACCTCCAATTGATGTTCTTTTATATTATTTTACAAGCATTACGACGCACTGACAGTTCTCTGTAAAAACTGTCAAACCAAAATTATTAAATTTCTTTTTCATAAAGTAGAGTGAGGGCATTGGCTAACGAGAAGCGAGTTTTGGGGAACTCTCAATTCTGGACAGGAATATGTAAACAACACAATGTTGGAAGTGGACAACATTTTAGAAAAATGCGGTGATTTCAGTCGGCAACAGCGAATCATGCTAGTACTCTGTTCTCTGCTCAATCTACTATCAGCCATACATTTCCTTTCGAACCCGATAATTAATTACGTACCAAAGTATTGGTATGTAATAGAGCCCTGCATTGAGTCAACCGAAACATATTTCGATAACCGACTAAAATTTGATTGCCTCGATCTGTTTGAGACGCAGTAGAAAATATGTGTCGGTCAACTCGACTGATAATTCGGCTCAATTAAACAATTGGCTCGAGATATTCTAGTTCAGTAGTATTCAGTAGTATTTATGCGAATATTAACCTGGCGTATACTTAACGTCTGTCCATAACACCCAGGTGCGCTGATGGGCTGGACCCGGGGGCACCACCGCCAAAAGAATCCAGCTGCAAACCACTGTACAATAATTCAACCAACTCTGATACCTGCAATAAATACAACTATGAGCTTCACATGGGCTTTCAGAGTTTTGTCAGTGAAAAGAACTGGATATGTGATGAAGGGTGGAAGATTAGAAAGGGACAAGCCTATTTCCTGGCGGGCCGCTTGATAAGCAGTCTATTTATGGGCTATTTGGCAGATATACTGGGTCGGGTGCCCATTCTTATTTTGACCAATGTCATTGCCACATCGGGCAACTTTTTGACAATCTTTAACATGAATGTGGACCTTTTTTGCATATTTCGATTTGTATGCGGCTTCGTCATAAACACCAACGTTACGTTTATTCGCATTCTAAGTGAGCAAAACAGTCACAGTCACATTGGAGAAAGTTTTAATTAATTGACAATCATTTCGCAGTTGTGGAATATATGCGTCCTTCTTTGCGCACCGTTTGCCTGAACATTTGTTCCGGTTTCTTTATTTGTTTGGGCATGGCAAGCACGTCTTGGATAGTGGCCTTAATAGGTAATTGGCGTCGTTTCATGCTTTTCGACTCGCTGCCAATATTTGTGATGCCGATATTCGTTATTTTTGTGCCGGAGAGCGTGCAATGGCTGATTTCAAGAAAGAAATATGACAAGGCTATAGCCTCCCTTAAGCGTGTGGCCAAGATTAATGGCCGTCAAATTGATGACAGCGTCTTTGAAGAATTCATTGAAGACTGCAAATTTAGTCAGCAAAATACGAAGAAAAACCCAAATCTGCTACACCTCTTGAGGATGCCGCGCCTACGCCGCATCTTTTTAATAATGTTGCTTGAACTGTGAGTAGACATCTGATCGAATGAACTTTTCAATATGCACCAATCTGTTTTCTCATTCGAACATCTACATAGCACGGTCATTTTATTCTACAGAGAACTTATCAAGCATCATATTCGTCATCTTAATATTTCGCCATTTGTTAGGAGCTCATCGCTCATAACTTCTATTCTGCCTGCTTCCTTGGTAGTAATTATCCTGCAAGATCGCATAGGACGCAAGGCGTTGGCTTTGACAATACTGCTCCTTATTGTCCTTTTCATCTTGCTACCGAGCGTCCTCCTCTTACACGCTGCTAATCCCTGTAAGTCTTGTCTATTTTTTATTCCCTGAACCCATTAAAAATGGGTATAAGGGTCTATTGTATTTGTGCAAAATCCAAATGTATGTAACAGGCAGAAGGAAGCATCTCCGACCCCATAAAGTATATATATTCCTGATCAGCATCAATAGCCGAGTCGATCTAGCCATGTCCGTCTGTCTGTCCGTCCGTCCGTCCGTCCGTATGTATGAACGCAAGGATCTCAGAACCTATAAGAGCTAGAGACTTGAAATTTTAGATGTAGATGCTCCTAGTTCCCGAGCAGATCGAGTTTGTTTCGGATATTCAATAACTCCCGGTTTTAAATAATCGGTAAAATATCGAAATCCGGAAATGCGGCAGCTAGCGCAAATTCCAAGAATTTCTGTATACTACTTAAACTGTGTTGGAATAAGAGGGCTCAGGGTATTCCCTAGTCGGGCGCTCCCGACTATAACCTATTACTTGTTTTATTTAGTTTCGCCATCAAAACCTGCCCACAATCAAAACTATGCCTTCTTTCAATATTCTCGCCCACAGCCACCCCATTACTGTTGACGATTTACGTATTTGGGAGCGTTTTTTTTCAACTTGCCTTCTTGTCAAATATTCAGTACACCTTGGAGCTGGTTCCAACATGTGTGCGGAGCCAGGCAATGGGTGCTATCTTTTTCATTGCCTATGTGCTCTACATATGCAAAGGTTACATTTTGAACCTGCGTGAAGTCTTCGTGCTGCTGCCGGAAATGATTCTGGGCGTGATAGCATTTATGGGAGCCTGCTTTTGTTTGCTGTTGCCGGAGACAATGAATCGTACTCTGCCCTGCTCACTGGAGGATGGCGAGAAGCTTGGCAATGACGAGCATTGGTACACATTTGGGTGCACGAAGAAGCGCACGCAGCCGGTAAATAGACTATCCTCGACAAATGGCAAGTTTCTTTCCGTGTCAACTAATTCACTCGTTTATTTAAAGGAAGAGCTTGAAAACTCCTTGGCAGCATAAAATGGGAAATGTGGAAGCAGGATTCCGATCGCTCTTATATGTAGCTTATGTAAACGAATATATTTGCTAGTACCTGCTGAAATACTTATAAGACCTTATCGTTTAGTACCCAAAATGAATCAAACAATCAATTGAACAAAATAAAAAGTAAGAATGGTGAAACAAAAATTCGTGCTTGCACTGCTTTGTTTTAATCAACAGAGTACAGAGTACAACGAATCGAGACAAGTTCAGCCAGCTATAAGTATTCTAATAAAAACATTTCCTATACAGCACGGCTAGCGTAGCAAAACTAATAAATGCCAAGTTTGGCAAAGATAACCAAATATTTTTTATACTAGAACTTAATTTTCGATTAATTGTCCCATTGGCAGCCATATGATATTTCCTGGAAAATGTGAAAGGCATCCACGAAGGAAAATATTCTTAATCTGAATATATTATACGATAGCTAACAAAACAAGTTTGGAGTATCAAGCTCTTATAATTTTCGATTTATTCATGGCATGTCAGTAAACATCAGTAAACTTTTGAAATTAATTTTGTTAGATTATTTTGATTAGTAAACTGTTTGTTAAGCAAATCTAACTATAATTGACCATATAAATACATTGTTTGTAGACTAAAACTAACTAACTAACTAATATGTAATAGAGCCCTGCATTGAGTCAACCGAACAGTGGTTCGGTTACCGGACTCGTGATAGCATGATTAGCTGCTGCTAATTACATATATGTCAAGCACGTGCTGCATTCAATTCACCATACATCTCTGTCCAGTTCTTATGTTAAACTTTGAATTTAAGATTAAAGAATATCGGACAAAACCTAAATCAAGAATAACGTTGCCAGATGTAGATGCCAAAATGTAGAAGATGTCAATGCCAAATTGTAGAAGATGTCAAACCATGAAGAAAGACCCATGAGCAAAGAATCAAACCTCCTAAACATCGGATGAGATTTTACCGAGTAATGGGACTGAGAAATTTCGACCTGTCTATATAGGAAATTTGAGCGCTAAACAACACCCACCAATTCTTTGACAGTCATTTGCACTACGGTGAAACCATGATAAACTGCATAGCCTACTTGAATGCTTGAGAATCGAGGAAAAAGGCGCTTGGAAGAAATTCGTTTTGTTCGAATTTGCCGCACAGGCTTGGTCTGAGTTTGGTATTAGAAGACAAACATGCATGCCTACATATATTCATAAATATATTCATAACACACAGGGTTGGTCTCGCTTGATGAATTGGTAATACAAACATCCATGCAACGCAGCTCCTATCTGGCTACGGGTGCTTTAGGAGCTACTTAAACCGATTCGGTCCCTACAACATAATTGATCGTCCCGAGGGCTACGAGCCTCCCGTGCAGGAAGCTGTTTAAGCTTGCTTTGGACAAAGTGCGCATATATGGAAAACAAATGCATTCAGAGACTCTGTCTTTCAATATAAACATAGATGAGTGTTCTTAGTATGACAGAGGAATCGAAGAGGAGAGAGCCCACCACATCATCTTCGAGTGTGGACGTTTGTCAGCGAACAGGCAGAAGCTGGAGGCCAGCATGGGCAGACCTCTCACGGTGATCAACATGGTCACAAGCATACTAGATGCCGCACAAAAATGGGACGCAACGAGCACCTTCGCGGCAGAAGTAATACATCAGACGGAAAACGGAAGAAGATTATGCTAAAAAACGGATCTACAAACTCACTATTATAATCCATACATCATTTATTGCTGGTAATAATAAAATATAGTTCAAATTTTCTTAAGATACTTCCAAAAACGAACTGGCCAAATTGAGATTTAACTATACCTTATCCATTGTTTATCAAATTGAGTTTTAAATAACCGTTGTCTTTCCAAAAGATATGATTTTCAATCAAGAAAATCATGCTTTGAAACTTATGATAAAGTTAATAAGACTTCGTAACATATCGCATTGGGCCCATGGTATAAGCCATTAAAACCTTGCCAACCAATTTGGCGTGCTGTAAAAAACGTTTGTAGTTTGTGTAATATGATATTTTAATGGACATGTCTAACCATTTTTGCCAGTTAATTAAAATCCCTAATGCGGTTTACCTTGGCCTTTTTCGAACCGAAAAGGGGTTGGACCGCCGCCTCGGTCGCACCCTGATCCGAAGGCTTTTCCACGCACAATCAAATCATTTCGCAAATTCAATTTGCCAAAAGAATAAATAACGAATAGAAAATGTGAGTTTCGAAAGTAAATGGAAATTCAAAAATGAAAAATCCAGTCAGCGGCGCATTCCTGCAAGTTCTCCTTTAAGGATTTCGTGTCCTTCGTGAAGTGCGAATGCCTGCTATCAAGTGTCACACTTATGTCTGACCTTTGCAAATTCAATTTGTCGCCTTTTTATCCATAAACATTTTTCTATTAGACTCGACAAGGGCGCGTTTTCTTTTCAATTTTCCTTGGCCTAAACTTTGGAATAGCTAAGTAGACAGGGATTATACCTATTAGATGGAAAATAGAGAGTCGATACTTTTCATCATGTGTATTTAATGGGCTGGGCGAATACTTCACACTTGCCAAGCAGGGCCGGATGCAGGATGAGATGATTTTTTGTGGGACCTTGAGCTTAGTTTATGAGTCTGGTGACATGTCATCAGACTGCTCTGGCTTATTGACAAACATTATAAATATCAATACACTACACTACAGTGAAGCCTACGAGCACGACTAGCTCAATGTTTCAGGCTCAACTAAATAACAAGAAGAAACTGACAAGGCGTTTAGTCGATAAATTGACATTGTTTAATTACAACAATTTTAAAATATGTATAAATTTATAAATAATTAGAAGCTGTGTTTAAAGCGAATTCTATGCAGCTGGTTTCACTGCTGCGATAGAGCTCCACGGTCTGGAGCACTCATGTGTGTGTATTTGTGACATGCTATCACACGCAATCAAATTGAATCAATCAAAATCGATTTTACTGGCTACAAAGTCAGCTGCAAATTCAATTTGAGCAGGAATAAGAATAAAAATTCAAATGGAAAATGGAAAATGGAAATGGAAAATGTTGGCCCATGCTTAGACCGACTGCATGGCTGGCGTCAGTTGGCAATTTGGAGTTGCTTTGTTGGCTCCTTGGCCCCCAAGAAACTTTCGTAATTAAAAAGGCGTTGAGTTAAGCAATTAAACACACGAACTTGGCGGGAAAGTTCGAGGACTTGAGAGTAATTCACTAAAATAACGCAATGTTGCGTAATTCAGTTTCACAGTTTTGTAATTAAACGCATTTGCATAAGAATTATAGTCGACGATACGAAAAACGCCGCAGGCATACTTCCATGCGACTCTAATTAAAACTAGCCCCTGAAAATTAAAGCATAAAAATAACAAAAAACTAAAAAACATTCTATGCCCACGACAATAGAGCACGGCGACCATGCTCCTCGCATATTGCTGGGGCCTAGTCATCCATTAAAGGTCATCAAACGTTGCCAACTGGCAAAATGCCAGCGATTCGACGGGTCTGGCAATATCGTTTTGTTTTCCGCATGGCCCACAGGAAGTTTCCAATGTCCGGCAGAGCGTACAACGACAACTTGGACAAACCGTAAGCCAAATAGAGTCATGCTAAAGTTTTAAGAATTATAAAATATTATATATATATAAATATAAGAATTATATATATAATATGCAGTGCATACTAATATCTTTTCTTTAGATAAGCTTAGATAATATAAAACTTACACATCAAAGGTTACATACCCTTTAAAGCTGTATCCACGGATGTGCATTACCAGGTCATAAGCAGAACCTCCGACAGTCCCTATATAAGGTGGGGCAAAGAATCAAATCAAGGAAGAGGAGAGGCTCTTAGAGGCTTTAGACAACTAATGATGAGGGGATTGGTAAAAAAATATAATTTTGTTAAGGAGAGAAGCTCCTGACTGAGTGATATTTTAAATAGCTTATAATAAATAACTTACTCAGCTGTTTAAGCTGGCCGCTCGGTGAAATTTGGTACACCTGCTTGTTTCTATTCCAAAAATGATATTCTTTGTAATCCTAGATTTTAAAGATCTTTTTATATGATTTCAGAACTAAGTAGATGCATATCATTGAGAATAAAGGCAGTTTATTTCGCATATTCGGTTTATTGCAAAACGAATCAGCTCTAATAATCAAATACGCAATGGAGCAAAAATCACGATGGTATCACAATAATATGCACGGCACTTGCTTCATTGGATTTGCCAGCACGCATGCTTAGCTAATCTTTGAATCAATGATCCGCCGCAAATAAACATATCGTAAATGGGTTTTTGCAAACATCATATGAGCCTAATTAAGAGCCCATTACCCACCCTCTGTGTGTAAATAGATACGTAGCCCAAAAAAAAAAAAAAAACACAAAATAAAAACCGCAAGTCAAGCAACCACCCCATTGGCTAAGGGTGGCACACAACGTGTTGCGTTTGCTTTGGCAATCCGGGCCCGGGGCCCGGGGCCGGAGTCGGGGCCGGGGCTAGTTGTGGTTTTGATAGCCGCGCGTGTAATTTGACACTTGAGCCATGTGCAGAAGCGACGGCAACCTGTGCAATTAGCCCTAATAATTCAACCTGGTTGCTGGCATGCAAATGAGTGAAAAATGTTGCCACCAAGGCATAATTACAGTGCAGCATCCCGAAGTGTCAACGGCAGGCAGGCTGGAAGGATCAAGACGTAGCGCCATCAAGAGGCTAAAGCGTCTTACAAGGGCCACAGCTATTTTAATGAGATATTGCTGTCTTGACAAACTGACAATTAGCCGTTGCCAAAGGAAACCACAAAGCGTAGCTACTCGTTAACCTGTCCCGGAAAAGCAAGGAAAAAAATTATGCAAGGTAAAAAAATGTTTGAAAGAGCTAAAAACTTAATGGTCAACTTATTTTATACCCTTGCAGAGGGTATTATAACTTAGTCTCTAAATGTGCAACGCATAGATGGACACACCTCCGATCCCATAAAGTATATATATTCTTGATCAGTATCAGCAGCCGAGTCGATATAGCCATGTCCGTCTGTCCGCCTTCCTGTTTCTATGTCTCTCAGTTTTAAAGCTTTCGTCATGAAACTTTGCATAAGTGCCTCTTTCTGTTGCACGCACTCCATATGTCGGAATCGGCTGGATCGAACCACTATATAGCTAGTTAACGAATGTGGTTCTTGTATACAATTTGCTTTTCAGGATATCTTAAACATACTCGGCATTAACTATTTGCCCTGTGCTTCTTTGATACGGCCAAAGCATTGTGAAAGGGAAGGGTGTGCAGGTTAGTAAATCTTAGTAGATCCTGTTCAACAAATATGTTTTATTGCAAAGTTGTATTTAAGGACAAAAACGACATTTCGTTTCATATAAAGTATATATCTAATATGTTTTTCATAAGCACACACATAAAAGTTACTCCCTACTCCTCCGTTATTTCGATCTCTTTGATCTTAGAGCCTAGAGAATATTTTGTTTATTTTTGCACACAATCCTCGATAAAAATAAGGAATTTAAATTTACTCTTATAATACTCCAGACGTTTTCTTTATTATGTGCTAGTCACGATATATGCAATGCAAATGTAATTGCGTCCCCATAAAGTATATATATTCTCGATCAGCATCAAAAGCTGAGTCGATATGGCCATGTCTCTGTGTTTCGACAATCTCTGTTTCGTCGATCTCAGAATTTATAAGAGATAGGGATAATCGATAATCGAATACTTGCCCCGTTTCCGAAACAATTTATAAAAATACATATCAAAATCGTATTCTTAAGCAAATCTCAGAATCATAGAGCTAGTCACCAAATTTCACATATAGATTCTACTTTATTATCAAGTATATTTTATTTTTGTTAGAGGCTGTCGTTTCAGGCAGTCTTTTTATCGAACCCTTTTCCAGCTTAGCCACAAACTCTGCAAGCTTTTAAGAGCATATATAATCGTTGTATTAAATTAAACTCTTCAGGTGTTTTATGGACAACTTGTTTTATTATGCACAATTTTTTAAATTTGGCTAAAGGGCATCTGCTAGTCGTGCACTGCACAACTTAAGTCCACTTATTCGCATAAATTCTCTTTTTTCCATGGGGCGCGACCTCTTAATTTGATTATGAGCTGCACAAAAAGTTAATAATTACATTCCTGTTTGTTAGACGTCCTTATCTACGGGCTGCGCAGTCGACGACGACTTTGGCAGCGACTGCAGCGACATTGATGCCGGCCGGCAGCGCGAGGAACTTAATTAATTAGGTTTCTGGAATATTTGAGAGTATTATTTTAAGGCACAACTCGAATTAAAGCTCACATCTTTAAGGGACAACTGGGCGGGCGCCATTTTGAAATTGCATTGCCCACATGCGCAGGAAGTGCCATTAAAAAGTAAACGGAAAACGAATTCAAAAAAAGGACAGTACAAATATAATCCTTTGATTCTTAAAATGTCTACACAAGGCTGACGAGCAAAGGAAGGAAAATGTGTGCGGCAGCAGCAACAATAACAACGCGCAACAAAAGGCTGTTTCCGGTTGGGACTATACCCTCTGCGCCTTCCTCCTCACCCTCCACACCATTCCACCACACACCCCCCCCATGTCCTCGCGGATGTTTGAAACTCCAATGCATTGCATTGAAATTCTTCATTTGCAATTCAATAAAATTCCGTTCATGCTGTGCGACAAATCCGTTTGCCGTCAGGGGGCGTGCCATGCTAGCGCTTTGTCCAATCAGCGTTGCGGCGCAACAGATGCCCAGCGCTTACAGCGCCCTCTGGCGTTCAAAGTGCACGAAAAACAAACCAAAGCAAGCCGCTTTACTCTCTAGGCTTGTGGGCGTGGCAGCGCATGCGCCCATCCACATGTGAAGTGTAGCTGCGCGGGCCGGGGGTGGACTGTCCTGCTATGCATTGCGAGCGAATCCAATGCCAGCTATTGGGCATTCCACAGCTGTGTGCGAGCGAGACCGCCTCAACTCAACCAGATGCCCATGTCACAGCCTGCCGAGTGGGTGGGTGGGTGTTTGGTGGTGGTAGCTGGGTGTTCGCTTGGCCTGGCTTGTGCTGGCTTTCATTGGCTTCGCATTCAAACCCAATTTTGATCGCAACTGGCATTGCGACAGGTGACCCAAAGGCCTCACACGTCCTCGCTGCGCAACCAATATTTCAGTTCAGTTCGACGGGTGCGACGAGCAGGTTGCGTGCAACGGTAAATCTCAAATCCGTGTGCGTTTCTCAAGTCAACATTTCCATATACTATAAAGTGCATATATGTATGAAGTGTTTTGCTTTAAGGCATTAAATTTACATATTAATTAAAAGTGAAAAATAAGTGAAAAATAAACTTTACCATGGATGGAAGCAATTAAAAACACATAATTATTAAAAAATCAATTATTACTAATACTAAAATCAGTGCTTAAAAGCAACAAATAATTCAAAAATAAAAATTTTTAATTATATAACAAATAGAAAACTTAACTGTGCTTGTTTTTGAAGAAAAAATTGATAAAAACATAGTCAATTTCATCCCAAATAAATAAATGTTGTTAAAAGAATATTAAATATTGTGTAAAAGGTATTTTCATACATAAAATATCAGTATTTTATGAAGTTAGATGCTTTATATCTTTATATATTAGATATGTCATCTCTGTGACCTGCGGTCTTAGGCTTCAAGTCACAGGCTAAACGGTTTTATTATTCCATAAAAACCTATTCCATTTAAAAATAAGCCTAATAGATGGCAACACTCATAAAATATATAAATATAAAATATATTTTTGAAGACGAACCCAAAGGCGTTTTCTGTTTTCAGCAAATTGCGATTCGAACCTTCTTCTTAAGTGGTTCACAGCGACCTTATACGACTAGCCTGCGATTCGAACCAGCGTCTTTCTTCTTGCGTGACTCACATGGTCCTAATGGGACTAGCCTGCGATTCGAACCAGCATCCTTACTGTTCAGTGGTTCAAAGATTTTGTAGTTAGTATAAATTTCAAGCCAGAAATTTTATAAACTTCTAAAAATAAATTTAAAAAGCGAAAAAGTGTTTGGAAATTTCTTTTTTCGATTAAAGGGCATTTCAATAAAATAATTTTCATTTGATTGATTTCAAATTAAATTACAGTAAAACTATAAAAATATAAAAGAAAATATTTGAATAACCAAAAGAATCTAGTGAGCATTAAAGTAGCTCGCCAGCTTAAGCAAAAAAGTAAATAAATAAATAGAACGCAAAGGGTGCTGCGACCTGTACCGTAAAACATGCTGAACATGAACCAACTGAGCCAGGCTGCTCCCGTGCTGCCACACCCACAAGCACATTACGCCGATTGCCGCCCATTGCCGGCAATCAACGAGACATTTGCGCAATTTAGCCAACATCGTTTGGCAATCTCGGTCCTCTCCCCATTGGATCTGTCGCTGCGCGCGGCGCCAAATATGGTGCCAATTACACCGCCTTCGACGCCCTCGCCGCCGCGCAAGCGGCAGAGATTAATGTCCGAGGAGAATTACCTGTGGCGGCCGCATGCTGCGCTGGTGATGCAGCAGCCACCAGCAACGGCCACCAGCTATTTTCACCAGCAGCAGCAACAGCAGCAGGAATTGGGTGGCAGCTGCTACGGCTTGCGCGGCTTTGAGGGAGTGGCGAGCTATGACAAAAGTAATTTTCACGGAAAAAGTAACTTTGCGCACATTCCGGCAAGTCAATCGAGCGTGTCCAGGACAGCAGCAACAGCCGCAACAGCAGCAGCAGCAGCAGCAGCCAGCGCGGAGGATGAGACAATTGTATTGACCGAGGACGAGGATGAAACAGTTGTCAGTTCCCATGACTACAATGAGTACGCGACGGACACTGAGGGCGACGGCGATGGCGACGAGGAGGATGAGACTATACAAGTCCACGACGTTGATGTGCCACAGGAGCAGCGGCAGGCGCAGCAGAAGAAGGATGAGGAGGAGGAGGAGGAAGAGGTATTTGTAGACATACTGGGCAACGATGATGATGAAGACGATGTTGTGGAGCTGGCACCACAACAAAGCCCCGCACAGCAGCTGGAGGCCAAGGCCCTGAAACGCCATGAGCTGATCTATGAGGATGAGGAGCTGCATCATCAGGCTGTCAATGGTCTGGCCAAGCTCTTTGAACGTGACTTTGGCTCGTCGTCCAAGGAATGCCTCGAACTGGAAGCAGAGGCTGCAGCAGCCGCCGTCGAGGAGCAGCCGGAAAAAGTTTATACGGATTTGAGTGGTGGCGGCGGCGTCGGAAGCGGCGGCAATGCGGCGCTCCCAAATCCCACTCAAGTGTCAGCACCAGCTCAAGCCCCGCTGTTGCGCAAACACAAGCCAGAGCGTAGACGCACCAAGTTGCGCAAACACGCAGCCATCGATGAGGAGACAATTAGTCCCGTCTCCGGCACCATAATACGCAAGCTGCGCGACGATGAGGAGCTGGTGGTGCGTAAAGGTGACATTGATCCGGCTTTCAATGTCGTCGAAATCACCGAAGAGGCCAAAGCCATCTTGGCCAGCATCGAAAATAAGATTGGCGACTATATGTGTCAGCTTTGTCGCACCGTCTACGATGATGCCTTCATGCTGGCCCAGCATCGTTGTCCACGCATCGTGCACATCGAGTACAAGTGCTCCGAGTGTGAAAAGGTTTGATTTGCCATCCTACTCTAAAATACTAAGCTTTGGATTAATCTTGCAAAATTGAAAACGACATAAGTTTTACCAAGTTCATTAGTTAGAAAATGTTGAGCTTTGAGACCTGATTTAAAGCTATAAAAGCTGCGAAGAACCCTTTGAGCTTTAAGTAAGATTTCTTTAGTACTCGATTTCTGAACTTTCAGCTTTAAGTCCGATTTTTCGTCTACACTAAATAAAGCTGACGTGGAACTCTAAAAGCTTTTTTCATTTTCTTTTTTAAGCTTAGTCGTAGATTACCGTGTTTATAATATAAAGGCTGCCTGTTAAGCCGCTTCAAGCTGTTAAATAAGCTTTCAATTTGAAATGATTTTTCATTAACAAAAGCTTCACAGCACGCTTAAGGCTTAAGACTGATTTCATGAGTAAAATAAACTAAAATTAAGCTTAATTGTTAATTGATTAAAGCGTTTAAAGCTACATCTGACAATTACAATGTTAAAAGAGCTTTCAACTAAATATTTTGAAGCTTCGAGCCTTCTGTAACATTGAACTATTACTACTACTATTTCTAAATAATTCCTATTTAACCAGCATTACATTTCCATACAACTATAAATGATCATAACTCGGTTAAATTAGGTCCGTTTTCAAAAAATAAACATATTGAATTATGTACACGTACAAGTCTACAGAATAAATTAGAGTCAATTTGATTTCAGAACAGACCCAATTTTTTGATATAAGCTGCATGTTTTGGAATGCGAACTATTCGAATATCTGACTTTATTTTCCAGTTTTTCAAAAACCTTAAGCTAATAAAACTCGTAAAAATACGTATTCACGTTCGTGAATTTTAGTTAATTTCACAACAGTTGCATAACACTGTTTTTCAAAGCTGATAAAATTGGTATTGGAAAATTTGTTGCGGTAAGGTTCATTGTATCTGGAAGATATTTGTTTTTTCCTAGCAAATAAATATTAGAACATGTGTATTTAGGCAAATTTAGTGCTATCGTATTTGCACAAATACGCAACACTAAATCTTAAAGCTCTTAAGCCAACTCGGTCAGCAGTACTAAGTATTTAAAGCTTAATCCAAAGCTCAAGTGTTATTTTCAGCTGGTGTCATTGGCACTTATTTGCTTTAACGTCAGCTAATTAAAGCCCTCATTTGCAGGTTTTCAATTGTCCGGCCAACTTGGCTTCGCATCGTCGCTGGCACAAGCCCAAATCGGAGATGCAGCCCGGCAAAAAGCGGTCAAGCGGTGGCGCCAGCGAAGCTGCCATCGCCAGCTGCAGCTCCAGCTCCAGCACAGCAGAGACTGGCCACAAGGCGTCGCCTGGCGAGGATGCCAGCGATGGCATTTATCCCTGCCAGCAATGCGGCAAATCCTTTCGACGGTAAGCGGCAACGGGCTTCGTTCGCATCAATTGTACATGCCACGCTCTTTACAGCTACGCCTATTTGAAGAAGCATCAGGCTTCGCATCAAATGCTGGATAATCTCAAGAATATGGAGCTTTTTAATGCGCATCAGCAGCAGCAGCAGCAGCAGCAGCAACTGCATCAACAGCAGCAGCTGCAGCAGCAACATTTGCCCGCACAACCCGCGGCTGCGGCTGCACCTTATGTGCTGCCACGCCCACCGCATTGCACTTTGTATCCAACGGGCACGTCCAAGAGCTATGCAAGCGGAGGCCAGCGCTTTGGCGGCTTCCCCTTTCAGTCATTCGACCAGCGGCGCTTCTACTCGCTCGGCGAACTGTATCTCAGCCAGCAGCTGGAGCGCTCCTCGGCCTTTCAGTACGTCCATGCGAATCATCTGAGGCAGCTGTCGAATGTCGCCCACAATATGCTGCCGCCGCTGCCGGTCAAATGACCCAGCAGCCATGTGCTGCGTCCTGTGCCGCGCATTGCGTCCACATCGACGTCTACGTCAACAGCAATGGCAACGGCAGCAGCAGCAGCAGCAACAACAGTCAATCGGCAACTGGAGCTGCCACCGATAGTTGCCACAGCGCCCAATTTCAATTGGATGCTGCCGATGTCAACGGCAGCTGCGGCGCCAGCGGAGGCGAGTGAGCATGTTGTTGCTTAATTACAATTCGATTTATAGCATTCAATAAAGTTAAATAGTTAATGTTTACATTATCATCATTAAAAATATTACCAAAAAAAAAAGGAAGACTTCTTATTGGCTTAAAACAAGTAAAGAAACTATGTCAATAAGCCTTTGCTCATGGGAAATATAATATGAATATCGAGAAAGTTGGCATATCTACAGATTTAATACCCTTGCAGATATGTGAGAACTGTGAAGTTCATAATCGGTGAGTTTCATAAAAATATCTTGAAAGCAAAATATATTCCTATGCAAAAACTGTTTTTTCAAACGATTCTTTCCATAGAGCTTTATAATAAAAGTAATGCGATCTAATTAAGAACGGACGGACAGATGGAAATAAAAAGGGGATTAACCGGGTGGGAACCACACCGGATCTGAACTGAACAGCCTGTGCTTATTCTACTTGCCATAAGTCCTCTTCATAGGCAATGCATTCTTGATTAAATTCGTTGCATAGAGTCCGAGCTTCATCGAATTTTCAGCGCATCAATTTTAAATTTTAGCTATTTACTTATGGGAAGGCATTAAAAATGTGTCTAGCTTTTATACCTTTCGAGTTATGCTGAAGAAACCAAAGCCCCATATCTATATTTATGTATATTTCTAAGGTGGGTAGAGCTTAGCGGATGAAAATGTTAGGCTCGTTCTCGGACTAGAGGAGAATATGCCCAGACTGACTCAGCTCATCGTCCTGACAAAGGTTTTGAACACTTTTCAGGATCGGAAATGCCTCCGTCTGCAATCTGCTGCTTCTCCTGCAAACAAATGCTCCAAAAATAAAATGATGTTAGGAAAATAAATTGTATTTGCAATAAAGGTATTTAAGCAAAACCTGTGTAAACAGCTGTGGCATGGTTCACGCCGGGAACTTGAGAACGGAGCATTCGTTCGAACCGTAAACCGAACCAGCGAGCCACAAATTGTTGTGGGGCTTGGCTTAGCTGCTGCCTAGAGCTGCCTGCCAAAAATATCAATGCCCAGGGCATAGGACAGAGCCTGAGCCAGATAGGTTTCATCGTGTACGCCATAGAAGAGCAGGGACTTGGGTCCTGTAAAACAACAGAAAAGGTTCATCGACTTAAGTCAAGTGGTTCGGAGCATGACTCACCCTGTGCGAAGAGCAGACTCTCAGATGGCAACTGCTGCAGCCTGCGCTGCAACAGCAACTCGGGCCCTTGAAGAGACTCCTTCAAAGTGCTGACCAGCTGCGTTTCCTCGCTGACATCCCGACTGGAGCTGAGATAATTGCCATTCGTGAGCAGCACCATTGTCAGCAGATCCTTTTGGCCCATCAAACGGGCCAGCGTCGCATTGAGCAGCTGCAGCTGCTGCCGGGCATCCATGTGCGGCTGCACATAGTGCTCCACAATTAACAGATGCCCCACACCCGGACGCCTGAGCACCTGCAGCGTTCGATTTAGCATCAGTTGCAGCGTGGGCGCCCGGTAGTTGGCGCTCAAATCCCCATTGGCGAGCACGCCCAGCAGATAGTCCAGGCTGCTGCCATTGATGGAGCTGAGCTCCTGTTCATGCTGCACCAGCTCGAAGCGTGGCATGGGCTTGCTTTTCAGTTTTTGATTGCGCCAATCGCGCAACAAATTGCGACCAGCTCTGGCGCGGCACAGCAGCTCATCCGACGGATCCCACTCATATGTGGGCACTTTGGCATTGAACAGCTGCCGGCCGCCGCCTAGCAGCACATTTAACGCCTGCCCCGTTGCACCTGAGACAAGCTGCTGGGCCACATCCTGGCAGCCGGACTCAATGGCACCCACCGGCATCAGGCTATCGCATTCCCAGCTGCTTTGCGCCACCTCCGCGTACAGAGCCGCGCCCATGGCTCCCGTCAGACGTTGATTGGTCACAAAGCCGGTCCGCAGGCCCGCCAGCTGGGCCTGACGCAGCACGCTGCGCAGCTGGCCGGGCGCCGCGCTGCAGTTGCTCCGCATACGCTGAACAGCTGCCAGCGGCACACCCGTCCAGAGGGCACGGAAAACGGCCGACGCATCGCAGGGCGAACTGTAGCTGCAGCTGTTCTTCAGCCGTGCCGCATGCGGGAATCGATCCCAGATGTAGCCCGAATGCTGTGAGCCGTTGAAACGTGCCGCCGCCAGGGCGGGCGCATCAATGCCATGGATCATTAGCAGCCACACATCTTGGGGCTGGCTGCGCTTGGAGTGCACACGCAGCGCCCGCTTCAGCTCCTCAATGCCCTTGTCGTACCAGAGCTTCTGCTCGGCAGATACCGCATCCTTCCAGTAGTCCACGTCGCCCACATTGGCCACCTCGTGCTCCATCTCGTAGCGTATGGTGAAGCCAATGCAGAGCAGCGACACGAGCAGCGACAACACCACCGAACCGGCCAAAATGAACAATTGCGTCGACTTGAGACGCAGCTGAAAGCAGAACCTTCTCATCCGCTGCGACATGGCCATGGAATATGCCCCTAACTAACTGCGACTATGCGCTTCATAGGGTTTTATCTCACCATCCGACCAACTATCTATCTATCCATCCATCTATCTATCTAGATAACATTTGTGTAGACTGTTTGAAGTTTTTATACCCACAATTTGCATTTAGTGCTTGTAATTAGATGGAAAATCTCATGAATATTTCACACATTAATTGCCATATAAACAAATGCATTCTACACTGAAAGAAATTGCATAACAATTACAAATAATACATTACAAATATATGAACACAAGTACTTTCTCTATATGCAGAAATTCTTCTATTACAATATTTATTTATTTTATTATAATATCAGCAATATTATGAGGAGTTTCATGCCTTACACTGAAAGAAATTGTATAATCTTTTTATTGCTAAATGCATTGCGCATAAATTTTCTGTTTGGAATTTGAGTTTTACTTGAAACTTATTTATTTATTTAAGACTGAGCTAAATCACAAATGTACACTGAACATAAATATTTTGAGTGTACACTGAGAAGAATAAATTATACATTATTAATAAAATTGAAAATAATTTAAAAAGATATATACATATATATATGTCGTGTATCCAATAAATTATTGTGAGTATTATTTTGAATGCTAACGATTAAGTGTTAGTAAGAATCAGAGAATTTGACAGAAGGTACTGCTATTTAACATAACTGTCCTACTTGTATTAGGGTTGCTACTGAAAGCATGGTGTGAGACAAAAAAGATAGTCTCTGCCGAGCATGGCCCGAGTGTGTTGTATAACGTCCAGTTTGCTATAGTGTTGAATGTTCACTAACAGTACTAAAAGTCAGAGAAGAATATAGAATGACAAGAGCATGAGTAGTATGCTCGAGGACGATGAAAATTATTCATTCTAAAAGTGGAAGTCATAGAGAACAGACGTGCTCGCTCCTAAAAATATAATTATTTTGTGACTATAACGACACTCGGGACTTGCTGTACTGCCAGTATGCCTAATTGCAAAGAAAGTGATTTCTCTGTTCCGACATCAGAAGTGGGATTAGGCGATGCCCCTCCACGAGGCAATTCTGACGATTCGTGGCGTCAGCTTTTGGAATCTCAAAATCGAAATATTCTTGAGATTATTAAAGCAATGCAGATGTCAAATTCAGCATCCTCAACAAAGAAGAGCATCTCGTTGCCAAAGTTCAACCCGGACATTGCAGGCGCAGATGCAAATGCCTGGTGCAAAACTGTGGACATAATACTTGACGATAATCCTATTGAGGGCAGTACACTGGTGATGACCCTCAGCGGCTCCCTAGAAGGAAGCGCCTCGCCCTGGCTTTCTCAAATATGCTATACTGGAATGAACTGGCAAAATTTTAAGGAATTGTTTTTGCAACGTTTCGTGGGAATGGAAACATCGGCGGCAACTTTAATGAACATTTTTAATGGCCGACCGAATGATGGCGAATGCCTCTCCGTATATGCGAGCCGTCTTGTGACCTCACTTTTATCCAAATGGAAGACAGCGAACATGGAGGAAATTGCAGTCTCAGTTGTTTTGGCACATACATCGAAAATCGACAAAAGTCTGCAACGTATGTTATATACGACTAATATTAAAAGTCAAGACGAGATGCAACAGCATCTGAAGGCCTATGCTTATGGAAGGTCAAATGGAGGTCTACAGCCAAATATCCCAATGGAACCAGATCGCAAGAGATCGAAAACATATGGCATTAAATGTCATCATTGTGGAAACCTCGGACACAAAATGGTCGAATGTCGCAAGAGGAAGTATGAAGAAGGCAACGTGTCAAAAAACTCAGCATTACCTAAAGTTCGATCTGCCGTTACCTGCTTCAAATGTGGCGATGCTGGCCACATTGCGTCTTCATGTACGAAAGGAGTTTCTACGAGCGGTGTTGGATCACATGACAAGCGTATAAACATCTGTTGTGTGTCCGAGCCAAAAGGAATCCTGCGTCAATCTGGTGAGCTCGTTCCATTTTGTTTTGACTCTGGAGCGGAATGTACGCTCATCAGAGAGAGTTGTGCCGAGAAATTTTCCGGAAAAAGAATTAATAATTTGATAGTTTTGAGGGGTATTGGAGAAAATCCTGTGTATAGCACTATGCAAATCTTGGCTACTGTTAAAATTGATCAGTACTCCTTAGAAATATTATTTCATGTAATAATGGATAAGTTTTTGAAATACGATGTATTGATAGGCCGTGATATACTCGGATTAGGCTTTGGAGTCTCCATCGAGGCCGACAAATTTGAAATGTACAAAACCAAAACTGTTGATGTACTAATAAAAGTGCCAGATATAAGTTACGTAGAGCATCTGAATAACGATAGAGCATTAAGCAACACTGATAAGAATCGTCTGCTAGAATTATTGCAAAACTATGCTGATAAATTTATTGAGGGTATTCCTCAAACGCGAGTGACTACGGGTGAACTTGAAATCCGCCTGCTTGACCCAAATAAAACTGTACAAAGGCGTCCGTATAGGTTAAGCATAGAAGAAAAAGAAGTCGTGCGAAATAAAGTAAAAGAATTGTTAGACGCAAACGTTATACGTCCTAGTTGCTCTCCATTTGCAAGCCCAATGCTGATGGTAAGAAAGAAAAATGGAACCGATCGACTATGTGTCGATTATCGGGAACTGAATGCTAATACGGTCGCTGACAAATATCCGCTGCCTTTGATTTCTGATCAAATTAATAGACTGAGTGAAGGCAAATATTTCTCCAGTTTAGACATGGCAAGTGGTTTTTACCAAGTTCCAATACACCCAGACTCTATCGAGCGCACTGCTTTTGTCACGCCAGAAGGACAGTATGAATTTTTGGCCATGCCTTTTGGATTAAAAAATGCTTCCTCGATTTTCCAGCGCGCAATCGTGAGAGCATTGGGTGATTTGGCTCAAACGTATGCCATCGTCTATATAGATGACGTGTTAATTCTAGCGAAGACAAAGGAAGAGGCACTTGAAAGGCTACAAACGGTCTTGGAAAACTTGTCTAGAGCTGGATTCTCATTTAACATTACAAAATGCTCGTTCTTGAAAACAAGCATAGAATATTTAGGATACTTGGTTGAAGCGGGTCAAATTCGACCAAATCCACGCAAGATACAAGCGTTGGCCGAATTGCCGTCACCGCAGTCAGTAACGCAGGTGCGACAATTCATAGGCCTAGCCTCGTATTTTAGGCAATTCGTACCAAAATTTTCTGAGCAGATGAAAGCTTTATATAATCTCACCTCCAAGAATAATAAATTTGTCTGGAAGCCGGAATATGAGGAAATTCGTCAAAAAATCGTATCAATTTTGACTAATGACTCCGTTTTGACAATTTTCGATCCACTAAAGCCAATTGAATTACATACAGACGCAAGTTCTATTGGATATGGTGCTATTTTAATGCACAAGATAGAAAATAGACCCAGAGTCATTGAATATTACAGCAAATGTACGACAATGGCTGAAGCAAAATATCATTCATACGAGCTTGAGACCCTCGCAGTTTACAACGCAGTAAGACACTTCCGCCATTATTTACATGGTCAAAAATTTATTGTGCATACAGATTGCAACTCCCTGAAAGCAAGTATCAAAAAAATTAACCTTACCCCAAGGGTACATAGATGGTGGGCATATCTGCAATCATTTGATTTCAGCATTGAATACAGGAAGGGAGAACGCATGTTACATGCTGATTTTTTCTCGCGCAATCCGTTGCCTACTGATTATAAATCCTCAGCGAAAACGGTTGAAATGCACATAAACCTAGCTGAGATAACCGACGATTGGCTTCTAGCCGAACAGCAACGAGATTCTGACATTGCTTCCATAACCTTAAAATTGCGAAACCATAAGATGGGAGAAGCTATCTCAGCGTCGTACGAATTGAGAGCAGGAGTATTATATCGAAGGATTCAAAGAAATGGCAGCACAAAATGTTTGCCTGTAATACCTAGAGCCTTTAGATGGTCAGTCATTAACAATGTTCACGAAGCCATAATGCATTTAGGGTGGAAGAAAACTCTAGACAAAATGTATGCCAACTACTGGTTCGAGAAGATGTCTAAGTATGTGAAAAAGTTTGTAGAAAATTGCATTACCTGTAGAGTGTCAAAACCACCATCTGGTAAGCTACAAATAGAAATGCACCCGATTCCTAAAGATGACATACCCTGGCACACTGTGCATATTGATATAACCGGAAAATTAAGTGGCAAAAACGACTTAAAAGAGTACATCATAGTTCAAGTTGATGCATTCACAAAATTTGTTCACCTTCAACATACGCTGAACCTTAATACGGAAAACTGCATTAAGGCAGTCAAAGAAACTGTTGCACTATTCGGAGTGCCGGCACGCATCATAGCTGATCAGGGTAAATGTTTTGCTAGCACAAGGTTTAGGGAATTTTGTTCTTCGCAGAAGATAGGTTTACACCTGATTGCGACGGGCGCCAGTCGAGCAAACGGCCAAGTAGAGCGTGTCATGAGCACCTTGAAGAGCATGCTCACAGCGGTTGAGAGTAGTCAGCGATCCTGGCAAGACGCTTTAAAAGACATACAGCTGGCAATAAATTGCACGACAAATCGTGTAACGAAATATAGTCCGTTAGAATTGCTAATCGGTAAAGAGGCAAGGCCGTTAGGAATGATAACAATATCAGATGAAAAAACAATTGATAAAGATTTAATAAGAGCACAAGCGAAAGATAACATGGTGAATAACGCTAAATATGATAAGGCTAGGTTTGATAAAAATAAAGCAAAAATTGTAAAATATAAGCTTGGTGATCATGTCCTACTCAAGAGGGAAGAACGAAATCAAACGAAGTTAGATCCCAAGTTTAAGGGACCTTTTGAGATAATCGAAATACTTGATGGAGACAGATATTTATTAAAGTCATTGACGAGTAAGCGCACGTTTAAGTATGCACATGAGTATTTGCGAGCTTTTCCAAGCAACAATGTATCGGAGGAGTTGATAGATTTGAGAGATGATGAGTGTGACAATGTTGAGGACATTGCTCAAGACACTGTGG